CACACACACACACACACGCCCACACCCGGGGAGCTGGAGTTAGGAAGACAAGTATATTGTGGAGAAGAAAGTTGGATCTGGAAGCCAAGGGGATGTGTGTGGGGACTTGGAGGAAGAGCGACTTCCAAGGTGAGTTTGTCACTCCTCCCCCCATCCCCTAAAAGAGACGGATGGCTTCTTAGGGGAGGGGGCAATTCCCTCTCCCATCCCCACCCCCATCCTGCACACAGAGCCCCATGTGAGCACCGGCCCACGTGAGCGCGTGTGCATGTGTGTGTGTGTACGTGAGTGTACGTGTGAAATGTGGTGGCGAGTGTACTCTCTGCAAAAATATGAATAATCAACACATCGCTCACACCTCCGCCGAGAGCCGGGAGGGAGCCGGGAGGGAGCTGGGGGCTCCCGAGGGCTTTCCCCTGCCGGCTGGCGGAGGCGGGCGCCAGCAGGAAAAGAGGGGGCATTTCAGAGGCTCTGCAGCCCTCTCCCCTCAGCTGATCTGAGAAACTCTGAGAGGAAGGCACCGGGAACTTCTTCTGGCTAAAGGTCTTCTATCAAACGCCATGGCCACGCCCTGGAACTGGAACTCCAGGGCGAGTCTTGGTACCCTATTTGCCAGCGGATACAGCTGTGAAACGGGGGCAAAGAAACCCCCCTAAAGGGTGGCTGTCAAGTTGAAGGGTGAGAAAGTGTGCGCAAGGACTGGGTGACCCTCCAGTTCGTTAGCCCTTTTTCTTGCGTGGAGACTTACCGGATGGGGTCTCTTATGCAGCCAGTCCGCTTCTGGAGCGCAGCCCTGCGCGGCGCAGTGACAGCCGCCTCCCGCCTGGCGCACAGGTACCCGGAGGCCGCTGGAACCGGCCGTTCACACCAATGCGGTCCAAACCCGGGCTGGGCCGCACCCCACCCTGACACCCAGGAAATCAGGCCCCCAGGTTTAGTGGAGGCCACGTCAGGCTCTTTTCTCTCTACGGGTCACCTGCCCCCTAAGACACACGCCTTCCCAGGGGCCCAGCTCCCACGTCCCTCCGGGCTCCGAACGCCCAGATGCGGTTGTTCCTTCCAAAATGTATCTTGGCTTTTCCCTTCAACACCTCTGCCGGGGCTCTGCATACAGAACGAGGGGATGAAGGGATTTCAGGAGGGATACTGAGGCGAGAGAAGAAAAAGGAGAGACAGGAGGAAGAGACTTTTTTGGGGGACCCAGGGTTAGGGTGAATGCAACTCTGTCTTCTTCAGTCCATTCGGATAAACGCGGTACAGCGACCCCCGGGCCTGGGTGCAACATCCTGTTTCTATGTCATGTCCTTCCACACCTCGTTTTCTACAGCTGTTCCCGCAGAAACCCATTCACTAGGTAAAAACAGAAACCAAGCAAACAAACAAAAAAGAAAAACAAACAAACAAACAAACAAAAAAAACCCCAAACAAACAGCGAATCTCACTGCTTACTGAGTTGTCCTAAGAGGAGACAAACTCGCTTAGGGCTAGATTAGCTCTTCCCTCCTCCTCTCCGGAACGCACAGGCCAGTTTCGTAAGAAAAAAAATGAAATTGGGAGTGGGTGTCAGTGGGGCTGGCTATTTAAGAAATTAGTTCACGAGAGACTGTGAACTAAAATATCCGGCAGGATTCTGGGATGGCCACCAAATGCACGCATTTCTCCTCGGACGGATCAAAAGCAAAGGTTCCAACTAAAACAAACAAATTGGGAAAAATCACGTCTGAAGAGGGGTCTCGCGGAGACCTGCCACTCACTGAATTTACAAAACCCAGACTGCTGTCCCCCAGGGTCCAATTCCCTGGGCACTAGCCAGGCTCGGGGACCCTGGCGCCCGCCGCGGGGTGTGTGTCTGGGGGTGGGGGTGAAGGTCAGACTGCCAGGGGCGGGGCGGGGGGGGGGGTTCTCACACCTGATTTCACCCCAGAGCCCAGCTGGACCCGAAAGAGGCCCCGAGAGCAATTTTCTAAGAAAAATTTCGGAACCTCTGACCTAGAGGAGAGACGCGGCGCCCCAGGAGACTAGACCTAAGGAGATCGGGGAAGGGGGCCCTAAAACCAGCCTGGGGAGGGGTGGTGGTGGTGGGGGGAGAGGGAACGCGGAGGTGCAGATGTGAACCGTAAGCGGGGGAGAACCCGGGTTCGCCGGGAAGAGGGAACAAAGGAGGGGTCGGGGTAAAAGGCGAGTGCCGCCGACCCACCCCGGTTTTGTGCAACCACCCCGGTTTTGTGCAAATCGCGTGGCGTGAAGAATGTTAATCATGTTCATGTTGGATTTTTCTCGGCCCCTGCGAGCGGGGGAGCGGAGCGAGGCGAGGGCCGGGGCGGGTGAGGCGCGCGGCTCGGCACCCCGGGCGGCCGGGCTTCCTGGGGGCGCAGCTGCGCCTGCCCGCGCCCCCCACCCCCGCCTCCGCCTCCCGCAGCTCCGGCCGGGCTGTGCGCGGGGCGCTCCCAGAGGTTTGTTCAGGGGTAGCCGGAGGCGATGGGGAGGGGAGCAGCCCTCCAGGCGCGCCGCCGCCGCTCCCTCCGTCTCCAACCTCCGCTTCTTCCTCGCGGGTGGCCGACTCCCTGCACCCCCACCCCCAACCTTCCCCAAACCTAATTAAACCCAAACGGGCTGGCAGACATGCTCCGGGCTCCCAGAAGGCCGGAGCGCCGCCGTGCTGGGCGCAGGGCTGCCTCCCAGGCTCCCGGTCCCCTCCGCCCTCCTCCCCGCGCTCCCTGGCAGCGTGGTCTCAGCCCGGAGCCAAAGTGGGCGCCGCGGCTGGAAGCCCACGGGGCTCCGGGCACAGCGGCCGCCGCTCGCCCCGCGCGGCCGGGGCGCTGCCTCCAGCACCGCGGGCGGGCGAGGAGCGGGGCGGCTCGCAGCGGCTCAGGTCCATATGCCGGGGCCACGGTTTTCCAAATCGACCTCCCGGCCGCGGCCCTTGGGGCCCCTGAACTTGTCTTTGGGGCGTACGGGTGGGGGCGTCCCCCGAGCGCGGCCGTCCGGTTTGGGGAGGGCGGCGGGGAGCCCTGAGAAAAGGACCGATTCATTCACTCAGTCCCCGGGGGCATGGTTGGGGGGCAGCTGTGGTGGGCGAGGAGAGCCAGCGTGCTGGGCCCTGTCGATGCCCTTTTACCACAGCCAGCCCGGGCCTGAAAAGCAGGCGGTTCGGACCAGGCCAGGCCCCACTGCTGCCCCGCGGCCCCCTCGGGTTGCGCTCGGTTCCGGTCTTGGCCGAGAGAGAGAGAGAGAGAGAGAGAGAGAGAGAGAGAGAGAGAGAGAGAGAATATCGGGGTTCATCAACACATGTGGAGGGGTCCACACTTTCCGGTCTTGGCCGAGAGAGAGAGAGAGAGAGAGAGAGAGAGAGAGAGAGAGAGAGAGAGAGAGAGAATATCGGGGTTCATCAACACATGTGGAGGGGTCCACACTTTCTGCCGAGGAGTCCGAGGCATTACCTCCACTGAGCGCAGTCCACGGACCAGGATGGATGGGGTGGGTGGTTAACTTGAGCTTCACAGAGATTTAGAAAGAGAGCGACTCAGGGTAAAAGACACACTGCAGAGTTTTTGTAAGGGACCAGCAATATCCATAAAGCCTGCATATCACAGAGAATTGCCGAATTGAAAAAGGGTAGTTCCATTCCAACAAATTTCACTCCCATCTTCCTCCTCCTGTCTTTGCTCAACTCCCACCTCACTCGGCTTGCACACCAGTTGTGACACACACAATATTCTGGTGCCCAGTCGCCCTTCATGGCTCCCCTGGCCTTGTGACCTAACCAGGAGGCCCAAGCCAGGGCCCTATTGTGAGGGTGTCACAGTCAGCGCCATTTAAAGGCGGGGGCGGGGGGACTCATGTTCTCGCCCCCCTTAAGTAAAATCACCCAGAGTTTGTACTGATGGGGTCCGCGCACCCCTTCCAACCCCTTCAGTTTTCCAGTAAATCTCCGCAGGAGAGACTTGCTCTTCCTGAGCGCAATCTCGGGCGAAAACGAGTTGTGTCCTCTAGCGGCAAACTCTCGCAGTTCATGTGTGAGCGCTCACCTACATCTAAGGGGTCTGGTCCGAAGTCGGTTCACGCTCGGGTTGCGGTCCCGGGTGTGGGCCCTGAACGCAGCCAGGCTCCGCGGGGCCCTCTCCGCGGAGAGGCCGGGCGGCCGGGCGCAGTGGCTCCCGCCGAGGAGCAGCTGATCCGCCTCCTCCACGGCAGATGGTCTTTGAGCACAGATTTGCATTCATTGTCTTCAAATCTGTTTTCGCGCTAGCGTTCTAGGTTTCAGCGGCAGCAGATCTCTGCGCAGATCAGAATACAAAAGCGGAAGCAAGAAAATCACACCCAGCCAGGAGGATTTTTTAATAGGCACCGCGAGCTGCCCGGTGCAGTTAAAAAGCCGTCTAAGGTTTCAGCTGCTGGCGGAGCCGCCGCCGCCGCCTCCCGGCCGCCAGCCCACCGCCGGCACCTCGGCGACCGCGCGCGCCGCGGGCAAAGTTTCCGCGACTCCCCTGCCGCCTCCTGGCAGCTCCTCTGCAGCCTCCCTGGGCTTCGGGGAGGGACCTGGGTGGGGAGGCGGAAGGGGGCATCGGGAGGACGCCAGGCAGCTCTTGCACGATCTGTCGACAACCTCTCCGGCACGCACGGGTGCGACTCCAGCTCGCTTCCGCCCGGGGGTATGTTTCTGAGCTCCTTGACCATTCTTCCTGACACTATTTATTTGAATAGCACTTGAGCCTTGTTCGTACTCCTCCACTCCACCCCCTCCTCCCCGCTTTCATTCATCCACCCTCCTCTCTCAACTTGCAAACCGCACACAGAATCTGAGTGTCACCCTCTGTAACTCCAGGAGACTGGGTTGCATCTGGGGGGTAGAGTATGCACAAACCCTAAGTGCATGTGGTCACACTTGCCGCTTCCCCCCCCACACGCCCACAGATCCTAGATTCAGGAATGAATGTGCCTTTCAGCGGGATACAAAAATCTGCACCGAGAGGCGGCACCCCCGGGGGCTCCCCGCTCCTGCACCCCGACCGCGTGGGCGCGTCGCAGGTCACCTCGCTGCAGCGCACGCACACCGAGGACGCGGGGTCCGCGGCTCTCTCGTCCCCTTTCACCTCCGAGCGTGGCGCGCGCCGCCGGAGGACGTCGCCCGGCTGGCCCGGAGCTGGCCAATCCCGAGCGTCCATGCAAATGAGGCTCCTTATCGGGCCGCGGCTCCGCCTCCCGCGGCCCGGGCCGTAGTAACCCATTCATGGGGCCCTGGCGCGGCGGCAGCCCGGCTCCGAGGTGCTCGCAGCCGCCGCCTCCTCTCCGCTCCGGGTCTTCCCCTTCTTTTTACAACTGATCCTGTTGGGAATTTTTTTTTCTTTCTAAATTGCAGCGGTGGGGGGGAGGGAGTCGGGAGGGTGGGGTACCAGGAGGAAAGGGAGAGATTAGGCAGTCATCCATCTCCTCCTGTTTCTCCCAGAACAGGTGATGCTTCCAAATTGTGATCACTTTCTGGAGGCAGCGCTGCCGCGGGAAGGATGCGAGCGACCTAGGACCGAGGACCCGAGGCGGCAGATCTGAACTCGTGGAGGATAAATCCCAAACTTTAACCGCACCCATCCGCACCTCAAAGCGTGAAGCAAAGGACGGGTTATCTTTTTCTTTTTTCTTTTTCTTCTTCTTCTTCTTTTTTTTTTTCCAAGAGAGACTGAAACTTCAATACTTGGCCCTTTTTTTTTTGGATCGATTTGGAGGAAACGGTTTGGTGGCAACGCTGGGAACAGTAAGGACAGTGTGGTAACTCTTGTTTTTAAAGAGACAGATCACACTTTTTTTAAATGTTTGGGATTCAAGATACTTTAGGAAGAGGGCCAGCTCTGAAAGAGAAGTCGCTGAGCGCCGAGATGGATTCGGTCAGATCCTGGGTCCGGAACGTCGGCGTGGTGGACGCCAATGTCGCGGCGCAGAGGTAACCAGACGGCCGCCCCGTTATCATGCTCTTAAAGTCTCTCCGGCTCCTTTGCTCTCCCACCGTCTCTGTGTCTCTCCGTGCCCCCTCCTCCCGCTCGCCCGCTCTGTCCCTTTTTCTCTCCCCCGCAGCTGTCGCCCTGGCCCCGCGCGCCAGGGCTCGCCCTGGGGCAGGCAGGTCGCTGCGGTCTGGGGAGCACTCACCCCGCAGCGAACACTGGAGTTTCCGAACTGCCTGGGCCATTGAGTTTCTCCCCCGACTCCTTCCCCCACTCTCGCGGAGGAAAAATAACAAAGTAGCATCTTCCGCCGCCTCGCAGCTCGCTCCCGGCCCCGCGCGGAGGGGCTGGGCTGGAGGGGAGCCCCGGGAGCGGGGCTGGCGGGGCGGCCGCGGAGAGCCGGCTTCCCCGGAACGCCGCTCCCGCAGAGCCGCCGGCTCCCGCCGCTCCCGCCGCTTCCAGCCCGGCGCTTGCCGGAGGCCGGAGCCCCGCGGGCAGATGGCGGAGGCGGCGAGAGGATCAGCCGGACGGAGCGGATCAGCTTCCCGGGAAAGCGAAGCGGCTCGCAGCTCTGAGGGGTGGGGGTGGGGGTGGGGCTGGCCGGAGGGTCCGGGGTGCCAGGCGTCTCGAGGCGGGGAGAGGGGAAGAAGGAATCCGAGAGGAAAAGGCGAAGGAGTGTCCGTGGAAAGAACTGCCGGAGAAGAAAGGCGGCGAGGAGAGGAGCTGGCCGCACACGCCGCCGGGCGCAGCCAGCCTGCGGTGCTGCCGGTCCCGGAGCGGAGAGTGTCCAGGCGTCCGCATGCGGAGATGGGGAGCGCCAGGGCCCGAGGGCCACCCCGAGAGAACATTCCGGCTCCTCTCCCTCATCACCCATCACGGCTGCGCTGGACTTTGTGGTCCCCACGTCCTCGTCTGCGAGAGAAAGACACTTGACCCCCAAGGAGCCCACGAACTTCTTCCCACGACGCCAGCCTCCCCATCCGCTCTCCTGGTCACCGCCTCCCAGCCCCGATGTGTCGCCCAGACGTTCCTCCTTCCTCAGCAGGCACGGCTCCCCGTGTCCCGGGTGGAGCGAACCGGCTGCCGCCCTCGGAGGAGAGGGAGCGCCGCTCGGGGCCGGGCGGAGGCCGCTCCCTCCCGCGCCGCCGCCGCTCTCCGCAGCCGCCGTCCGGGGCGCGGAGCCCGGGGCGAGCAGGCAGCCCGCACAGCCGGCCCGCGGCGTGCATCCCGCTCCTTCCAGACACCACCTGCCTTCCTCCTCTCCCCGATCGAACACTGACTGGGATCGGAGCGGGCAGCTGGAGCGGGGTGTTCGCCGGGAAAATGTTTAAACCAGGGAGCCGGGCTCGCGCCCCAAGCAGGAGGCCCGCGGAGCCGGCGCCCGGGGCGGGTGCAGCTTCTGCGCTCGCCCGGCTCCCGGTGGATGCTCCCTGGCGGCTGGCCCGCCCTCGGCCCGCACGGGTAGGCGGGGAGGTGTGTGCACACACTCGGTGTCTTCCAAGGAGCCCCGCGAGTCCCCCCAAAAGGGGTTCGCGGTCCGCAGGTTTGGCTGGCGCCGCCCGCACAGGAGGCCCGGCCTGAACGAGGCTTCCCCGGGCCCCAGGCGAGGACGTTGCCTGCCTCTGTCCTAATAAACATTGTGGCTCCTCCAAGCGCAGCAGTTTGGGGGGCGGGAACCCCGGGGATCAAGTTGTCCTGGTTGCCCGAGTTCCTTAGGGCTGGCTTCGGGATCCCGCCCTGCCCGGGTGCTGGGCAACTTTTCGGATGAGCGAGGGAAACAGGACCCAGGCGTGGGCTCCGGGCTACTTGCGGGCCTTGTGTGTGTGTGTGTGTGTGTGTGTGTGTGTGTGTGTGTTTTGTATGTGTGTGAGTATGTATGTGTGCGGGTGTGTGTGTGTGTGTGTGTGTGTGAGTGAGGAGGGTCATGGGCAGTAGCACTCACACAGGTAGCTCTAGAAAAGATAACGGATAAGGTTCACGTCTTCATTGAGCCAAACCGGTCCTGGCGAGGTTCACGTCTTCAAAAGTAAGGAGGCGCTTGTTCCCCAAACCCTGAGCCCAGCTCGGACATCTGACCCCTTCTGTGGCGGCGACCGCCACCGGATAAGATAGACGAGGGCGGCCCGACAGGACCGGACCGGGGCCCGCCAGGGGCCTCCCGGCCTCTGCCGGCCTGCCGCTGGGCTTCGCTGGGCTCCCCCAGAGGCCAGACGGGGCGCTCCAGCCCGGGATCGGCCCCTGTGAGTCCTCTCCAGGCTCCCCTTTCTGCTCTTAACCCGGTTTGAAAAGAGGGCGGAGGGCCTGGAGCTCTTGACCTGGGACCTGCCCCTGAGCCGAGGCCGTGCCTTCAGGGGTAACCCGTGTCCTTCTCTCTCCTTTCCCCCCTCCCCCCCTGTGCCCGCCGCCCGTGTCCCCCCGCAGCGGAGTCGCCCTGTCCCGCGCGCACTTCGAGAAGCAGCCGCCCTCCAACCTGCGCAAGTCCAACTTCTTCCACTTCGTGCTGGCGCTCTACGATCGGCAGGGCCAGCCCGTGGAGATCGAGCGCACGGCCTTCGTGGACTTCGTGGAGAACGACAAGGTAAGCCCTTCCCCGCCGCCGGGAATCGCCGCCTGGCCAGGCGCTGGGATTCCGTCTGTCGCGGCATCAGGGACCATAGAGCGGGCTTCTTACCCGCAGCCTCTCCATCCCTGGGTTTCCCCGCTCCCCGCGCCCCGCCGGCCGCCGGTGCGCTCCCTGCTGCGGGGCTGGAGCCTCCGGTCCGGAGCAGAACCCGGTGCCGCACAGCCCGCAGCCAGCGCCCTCCCAGGAGAGGGCAGTTTGAAGGTTCCCTGGGCCCTGCCGCCTGCTCCGGGGGGTGTGAGTTGGGCTACACCTGCCGAGCGGGTGGGGACCAGGTGGAGACCAGAGCCGCCAGCCCCCTCACTGCCACTGCGCTTCCTCGCTTGCTCCCCGCGCACCGCTCCCCACCCGGGAGGGCTGGGGTCTGCCTTTGACCTCAGAGGAAGCCCAGGTGAGAGGAAGGGAAAGTCTCTGGCCTTCTGAGCCGCCGTCTCCCCTTCAGTAGGCGCCCCGGAAGTCCCACCAGCGCCTGGCCCATCCCTGCAGCTGGTGGCCAGCTGCACTGGTCCTGTGGGGTTGGGACAAGGGAGCTCTTGCTTAGGACAGGCCCCCTCACCTTTCTGCTTAGAGAACCTGCAACTTCCTGGGGCAGCTGGGTGGAGACTGGTTGGGATCTCCCTCCTGAGGGTATTTTTAAGGGAGAGGGTCAAGTGGCCAAGTGGTAGAGTCTTGGCAAGGTTTGGCGGGTGTCCATCAGCAGAAGCCCCTGCCCTTTGACCCCGGGCTGGGCCAGAGTCCTTCAAAGCGGCCTGGTGGAGAGGTGAAAGGCTTTGGGAGGTGGTGTGGGGTGTGCTCTCTCCCCTCTCCCTCATCTGGGGGCTCCAAAGCCAAGGATCCCAGCCCCGCCTGTCTTTGTAGGAACAAGGCAACGAGAAGACCAACAATGGCACCCACTACAAGCTACAGCTCCTCTACAGCAATGGTGAGAGCCCCCCCCTCTGTGTCCGGGTGCCACACAGGCCCCTGCCAAGGAAAGCAGGTGATCTGTGTCCAGATGGCTTGCAGGCAGCCTAAGGTCCTAGGAGAGCAAGGTTTGGGGAGGCTCAGTCAGGACCCTGGGGGGGAGGGCAAGAAGGGTGGGAGTGGGAGGTGGTCTTTGCCCCCAGGACCTTTCAGCCTGCGGTTAGCCCCCGGCAGCTTCCTGGGCCTGGCCCTACAACAGGGACCTTTGGGGGCTCCCCAGGAGAAGCTTTGGGGCCCTTACCTTGCGCCCATCGCCTCCCCACAGGTGTCCGCACGGAGCAGGACCTGTACGTCAGGCTCATTGACTCGGTCACTAAGCAGGTGAGCCCCGGGGTCCAGTGGGCTCCTCCTCTGCGGGGTGCGGGGCCCTCCCACCTCCCCCCAACTTTCTCTGACCTGCCCCCACCCTCCACGAGTTCTGGGGTCAGACTCACATGCCCTTGACCATCAATCCTCACCTTGTTCACTATGAACAGAAAATTGCCCCCCTCTCCTCAATGGTTCTGTTTCCTTCTGGGTGGGGTCCTGAGCAGAGTGTGAAGGGAGAAAGCCATTATTGAAAGATTCGGTCCCCCAAACAAGAAATACTTTTTTGCAAGAAAAACGTTCTCGCAGGGCAAACTTGTCTATGATTATTTCGCTGGAGTTAGCCAGGCCATGGCTTGGGGTTTGTGCTTCCGGTGGGCATACCTAATGAAGAGGTGGGCAGAGAGGAAGACGGATTCTGTGCTCCCTCTCAAGCCCCCTGTTCCTTGTTTTGCTCACTCCCCTCACACCTTCCCTTCTTGCCCTTGCCTCCTTCACAGCCCATCGCTTATGAGGGACAAAATAAGAATCCGGAAATGTGCCGAGTTCTTCTGACACACGAAGTCATGTGCAGGTAAGAGCTGCTTTGTCCCGCGGGCAAACTTTGCCAGCACGCTGGGCAGGGGTGCGGGCCTCTGAGCTCAGGGATGCCCCCACCATGATTTGCAGGAGTGATGGTGCGAATGTAGGGAGGCTGAGTCCCTAGAACTTCTCTTTACTAAAGGCCAGATTCTCAGAGCATCTTGGAACCAGGCAGGATTCCCCATGCGTCCGGGAAGCTTTCTCCGCCCTGGACCATTTCTGTTGTCCAGCAGTTGGTGGCAGCTCAGGAAGGCACAGGCTACCCCCAGCCAAGTTTGGAATGGGGACTTCCTAGAACCAGGCTCCCCCCCACTGGTCTGGCAAGCTCCCGGTAGGTTTCCAAGGAGGGGTCACACGTTCACGATCAAAGCACTGAGAGCCCAGCAGCCCATTTCTGGGGCACCCCACCTGAGGCACATGTATAAGATGCCAAAGCAGTTCTGTCCTCCAGGAGTGTTGCTTTTCCAGCGATTTCTCACACCAGAGGAATTTCTTAGGTGAGGAGGAACCTTGGGGAGAACGATCAGAGGGGTTCACCACCCGTGATGGGAGGGGTGGGAGAGGACCCTGTCCAGGAGAGCTGGGTTTGGAGCAACAGCTGGCTTCTCACGTTGTGAGAGGAATTTCTCAGGGCTAAGTTGTGTGCTGGCATTTCTGCACCTTTCCCCATGGATCCATGCCATCTGAGTCTTTCTTCTGCTTGGCTAGAAGAAAATAAAAACAATTAGAAGAAATTCCTCCACTCACTTTTTCTCTTAACAAATATTTATCGAGTTCCTAGTTTTTGTTTTGTTTTGTTTTTTTGTTTTTGTTTTTTTGTTTTTAGATATTGGGGATCCCTTAGCAAAGCAGAGTTTTCTATCCAAAGGAAACTCTGGGAAGAGGTGGTAATTTTACCATAAAAATGTAAATGTTTGTTACACACACACACACACACACACACACACACACACACGTGTTTTTCTTCCTCCAAAATTTCTGATCGGAGAGAAAGCCTCAATTCCTCCTCGGGGCGCGATTGCTTCTGTAAATGTCTTCCACCTCCCAGACTTGCCAGTTTGGGGTAATTGGAGGCCTTGGCTGAGGCAGCCCCGGCTGTTTTATGGTCAGCTTCTGGCAGTGCCGTCTCCCTCACACCCTAGTCGGGAAGGAAGAAATGTAACAATTTGACATGTTTGTTTTGGTTTTGACCAAGTCTTAGAAAAAACAAACTTTGCCAAATGCAAGGTTGAGCTCTGCCAGAGCGGAGGGGTCCTGGCTGCCCTGCCTGAGGAGCTGGGTGAGGCGCAGGGCGTTGGAGAAAGATACCCACTTCGTCACCCCAGGGCCCCCTCCCAGATCCATTTAAAAAGAAAATCCAATTGCAAGATGAACTTGCATGTAATAACTAGACTAGATAGTCAGGACATTGATTCAGGTGGCTAATTGGTGGGTGCTTTTTAATTTCTCTCTGTACTTTTAAATGTCTTTGTTTGGAGGGATTACTTCTTAAAAGAAAAGGAAGCCCCAAATTGGCCCATTGTCTGATGAATTATACCTCTCCTTTTAAAAGAATACTCGCACGCCCCATCCAGTGGTGTTTAAAGCTGACATTTTTATTTTTAAGCCTAATCAAATCCTTCTCGTTTTATGCAGTTTAAGTAGCAGCATCAATTTTTAAAGCCTCCAGTTTAGTCTGCATTCGTAACACAATATAAAAATTTAATGTACTGTAACTTCTCTTGTATTCGAGACCCGGGAAGAGATGCTCTGCTACTTTCTTTCCTAACTGGAATTTAAAACAAATATTAATTAATGGGTAAATAAATGATCCATTGGATGGGCACTGTTTCTGGTGTGTGTGTATGTGTGTGTGTGTGTGTAGATGAACTAGTTAACAAACGTTGGACGCAATGTGTCAAGTCTGAGCTGGCTGATTCTGCAGTTAGGAAGAGAAAAAGTTCCTGCTCCCACATTTGAAGAGCCAGTTACAGCCCTCAGTGACTGCGGGATGAATCAGATGCCCCGTTCTCACTGGTTAGGGCACCCGGTTCCATTTGTGGGGTGAGAGTTTTGGGGTTTACCTGGGAATGTCCCTGCATGGCTTTATATTCTGTAATCTTTAGTCAAAAAAGCTCATCCATGAGCGTTTAGCTTTGAGGCAGAAAACAATGTCGATATCGTTAAGAACAACGTTTTCTCCCTTCACCAACTGTATCTGCTCCCTTCTTCCCTGCTTTAGTCCATTCTGACAATTATTAGCGAAGAGAAATCTAGTTGTTATGTCACTGCCAGCCACCCCTGCCCTCAAATGCTCAGAGGGTTAAAAGATATTATAATTTGAACAGAAGTCGTCTCAAGGCCTACAGCTGGCTAATAACAGAGTTGTATTGAGTGCGAGCAAACCCCACAGCTGTGACTTTTCGCCACAAGGCGCAGGCGAGACAGGGCCCTAATCAGATGGGCCAGCCGGGCAGTGGGGCCAGTGTCTTTATCGGCCAGATGGTGTGAATTTAGACACTTTTGTTATGCAATCGCAGGGAGGAGTTGGGGAGAAGAAAACAAAACAAAAGCCACCATGCTGTGCGCTTATTTGAGTTTGAAATTAGAGACAGATTTTTGAAAGTTGAGGGTTGAATTTTAAAAACGATTTTGGAGGGGAAAGGGCACATCCACTTGTCTTGAGCAGGAGTTTGGCTGACTGGACACCCTGTGTCCATGGCTGGGCCTTTTCTCCTCCAGCCTCCCCCTCCCCCCTTTTTCTTTCCCCTTTCCTGAAAAATTCAGGGAAGATTCAGGATTGGGATAACATTTCTCATTTCCCCCAACCCCTATCCCCAACTTGTTTTTTTGTTTTGTTGTTGTTGTTTGTTTGTGTTTTTTTTCTCTTTCCCTTTAAGATTCCATGAAAAGATAGGAAGGATGAAAGAGGCCTGTTAACGAATTGAGAGTATTTCAGGTAAAAGGTTCTCCAAATAAATGCTAGAATACGATAAATCAAGCCAAGCCAAACAGGAATAGAGGAAGAGCTTTCATTTTTATTCTCTAGAAAAAAGGGGCGCTTCTGAGCCTCTCCGTGGTGGTAGTCAGGACCACATTCTTAACCTAGGGCCAAGTTCAGTCTCCTCTTCTCTTTGTTCACTTTTCACTGAACAAGAACTTCAGACTCACTGACTTGCTTGCTGGGAAATAACCTGAACAGCCTCTTTAGCTAAAGAAACTGAACTTGAAGTTTGTTATCTGTGCAATTCAGGGACCCAGTTCCTTCTCTCAACTATCCACACACCTGGGCACAGAGCGATTGTGTGGGACTGTGGTTCCTGAATGCCCTCCACTCTCCACTCTCCTCTCTCCACTGCCCACTCCCCTTTGCTTAGCTTAATATTCTGGCATGATGACCGAATGCTATTTAAGCAGCCAAATGAAGAACAACTAGGACACCTTGATGAGAATTTTTCTTTAAAAAATAAAAAGAAAAAAGAAAAGAAAATTAGCTTTGGCTAACCCAGAGAAATTCTAAGAAGGGCTCCAGTGGGGCAAATACAGTCCACTCCTATTATTTTTATACCTTTATTTTTATAGTGCAACAGCCAAGTAACTGCCTTCTACATCTTTCCTGTGCTATTAACATTAGAGATTATACTTAAATATGTGACTGTTGGAAAAGAGAAGATTGGATCCTGAAATCTCTCTGCATTTTCTTTAAATATCATTTCCTTTCCTGAGCCGAATCCCCACATTGTATTACACTGGCACCAGGCTTACATTTTTATCTGTTTTCTTTTCCTCCAGAGAAACTCCCCACGGAAAGCAGCTGAATTCAGCTGAGCAATTTTGCAAACTTACTCAGCCTCCTCGAAATCACTCCTTCTCAAACTAAACAGATTGGCACGTTCTAGCAGCGTGCGCGCTTGGAATTAAATTGTACACGGCATCAGACACACGTTTGGGTTAGGTTGACATGCTGGTGATGTCAAAGGGAGGTTGAGGTAGAAGGCTTCAGGTAACTAGCATGGATGGGGCTTCTGAAATCGTGTTGCTAAGGAGAAAGGTTTGTCTGAACTGCAAAGGTATTCCACTGACAGAAGCCACTTTGAAAAAAGAGAGGTGGGAGACAGAGATGGGTGGGGGCAGGAGTTGGGAAGAAAGACACAAGCTCTGGGAGAGGGGAGACAGCTGGTCAGCATTTTTATTTAGTGTTAATCTTGGGACAGGCTAAAATTTTAAAAGTTGAGACCTCACGTAATGTCAAAGGCAAAATATTGTTTCCGAAACTCCCAGAGGCAAGCTCTGGTATTTAAGAAAGTGGATACACTTTTTCTTTTACTTCGGATTAATTTGATCACATTTCTTAAAAAACCTCATTGTGCCCATTTAGCGAAAGTTACTTTTTTTTTGGCATCTTCCAAGTATAGTCTACTTTTTGAGAATGGTAAAATTAGTCACTAAATAATCCGCATGCCCCTGCCAGAGAGAGATGGATTTAAAACGTTGTAGAGTAGTTCTTTGTTTGTTTGTTTGTTTGTTTGTAATTCTGTGGAGGATCCGAGATGGTGAAAGCACTGCAGAGAACCAGACACTAAATTTATCCCCGGGCTGTGCTAGGCCTCTGACTTCCTGCTGCCGCATGGCTTTCCTCTTTTCCTTACCCTGTCATCGCTTTCGGAGGGCGCTCAGGGAACCCCAGAGCCTCCTGGACTTCTTATACTAGAAGGGACTCTGGAGATAATCTAGCCCAACATTTTAATTTTATATATAGGGAGGCAAACCCCAGCGGGGTTAAAGAGATTAGGCTAAATTCAGGCAGCTGGTTTGGGACAGAGCTGGGTTAGGCGCCAGAGCCCTGATTCCCACGTTACCATTTTTTCTATTGGGCCATACCAACCGTAAGCTACAGAGGAACTATCAGGGGAAGGACCGCACTTACTTGTAATTTTATTCTTGCTAAGGCCTATTAGACATAGTCTCCAACCAGTGGGGACAATAATGCTTTTCTTTAAAAAAAAAAAAAAAAAATATATATATATATATATATATATATATATATATATATATATATATATATATTGATCTTTTACAGAGAGGAAGAGAGGGATAGAGAGTTAGGAACATCAATGAGAGAGAAACATTGATCAGCTGCCTCCTGCATACCCCTTACTGGGGTTGTACCCACAACCAAGGTACATGCCCTTGGCTGGAATTGAACCTGGAACCCTTGAGTCCGCAGGCCGACGCTCTATCCACTGAGCCAAACTGGTCAGGGCGATTATGCTTTTCATATAAGCCCTGTCAGAGTGATAGTCAGTGCTGGGCCATGTGCTTGAGTGAGCTGAGAGGTATTCAGAATTCTGTGGTCCTGACAAGCACATTAGGGCAGCTCAAGGAGGTGGTGCTCCACTGCTTCTCCATCACCAAGCCGCCTTCGCCCGTTTGACCTTTGGCTAGCTCTCCCATGCAGGGCCCTTTGATTGGAGTGCTTTACTTCTGCAAAGTCAAAGGACCTTCTCTGTGCATTCTCCAGCATCATCCGGCAGGAGCAAGTTTTGGGAGGAGTGTTTTCAAGATGGGAACTGTACATCCAGTCCCATTTCTGTCCCATGACTTGGTGAAAAGAATCAGAGCTATAACTTTACAGCTTCCTCCCTCATGTTTTTCCTATTTTAAAACACACGCCATAGTTCTGCTCTTCCTCCTTCACATTTAGAAAAGGATGGACATGGATGAAGGCATAAACATTTATAAAGTACACTGAGTTTTCTGGAGAAAGATGTTATGTAAATAAGGCTGATAAAAATCCAGGCAACTATTTTATACATTTTCCTTCCCCTTCTTTCTCTAAATATTTGTTAAGACTCTAAGATCTAAAATACGTAGTCATTCAAATCATTCAACACTGAGCTGGAAATAACCTTACAGATTTTTAAATCCAGCTGTCCATGGTTCAGATTACAAATACGATTCTTGAGAAAATTGTGACTTGCTAAGAATTACCCGGCTTATAAGTCACAGAGTGAAAATTTAAGTGAGTATCTCTGGGCTTCAAGTTCACTATTGTTTCTAAACATGGCCATAAATTCTGCTCTCATCACAGCTGATCTAGTGAAGAGGCTACAAGCCCAGGACATACTAATTTTTGTGAACGTTCCTACATTGTGTGTATATTGTTTTTTTTTCTTGATTTTAACTCATTTCTTTTACTTTTCCGGTTCCTTCCCCATCTGCAGTCGATGCTGTGAAAAGAAAAGCTGTGGAAACCGAAATGAGACTCCTTCAGACCCTGTCATCATCGACAGGTAGGGGGAAAAGTGATTTAAAAAAAAATCACTTCCTTTATGAATCTCAACTCTATGAGTACTGATCACTTGGGCTTTGCCATAAGGTTGGTTTCATGTTACCTTCAATGCATGACGCTAGTTCAACATGCATTTTCTTGTTCTGGTTGGCCTTTCTTGGAAGAAGTCAGAACCTTTCCTTTTGAACTTATGTCTGTAAATCTACCTGGATTCTTTCCCAGGTGCATTTGCTTCAGTCTAGTAGGGAGGGCGTGGATGGTAGGAGATGCCGTCTCTCCTATCTGGCAGGGCAGTTTGCTGAGAGAGGCAGTGCATTCCAAGTGAAGTGGCAAGCCCTGTGTGGTGCTCAGTGATTGCTGTCAGGCTTGACGACTTCCAGTTTAGATTACGGTTTAGGGGATTATGACAAGCTCTCTGTTGCATTGAGGGAGATTCCTTTCTACCGCAGGGGATTGCATTCTGGGTCCCGTGTTATATTCAGAGTGGATAAGATTCTCTGGGACAAGATGCTAATTCATTGAAATGTGAGTTAGGCATCCTCAGCTGTCTGTGTTTTGTGATTGGAAACAGAACTTATAAACCAATGAAGAAATACCAAATTAACTTCCAGCAATCATGTAATTTTTAAGAAATCCCATATTCCCACCCCTAATTTTTTCTCTTTCATTAAAAAACGGAAGAATTCCCTATTGCTTCTTTCTTTGGGTTTTCGTGTTTCTAGCCAGGTCCTGAAATGGATTGGAGAGACCACAGTCTCCAAAGTTGTTATTCCAATATCCCAGTGAATCCTCAGTTGGGAGAAAGGAACCTCTGGCATTCTTCCCAGAAACCCAGCTTGGTTTCTTCGTGGAAAATATAGCATAGTCCTAGGAATGAGGGGGCTGGAATTCTGATTCCGTCCTAGCTTCTGACCTTGGACAAAGCACTCGACGCTTCTGTTCTTTAGTGGTACAGTGGGAGAAGAGTTGGAGGGTACTGCCTGCTTCTGTAGGCTTAAGGAAGCCACTGAAAGAGCCAGGACCGTTCTGCAGTCTCCTCTGAGATGCTTGGGAGAGGATGACAGGCAGGCTTACAATGTTTGCCAGATGTGTATGGTCACTGCCATCTTAGGAGCTTCAGGTGAGACCAATATTAAGGAGCTGTATAGATTTTTATTTTTTTTCTGAAAGTGCATAGAAGCTGACATTAAAGGAGTTGTAAGAGCTCTTTGGAGTCAGCCATCTTTCCCATTTGCTAGAGGAAGAGACTGAACCCAGGAATGGTGACATGACTTGCCCATGATCGCACAGCTGGTTGGAATAGAGCTGGCACTAAAGAAACAGTTGTCCTTACTCCTCTCACCTCCACAAGCACCTTCTCCCAGCCCTCTCAGTCCTAATGTATGTGAGTTGGTGTGCTGATTGCATGGGACGTCTATTCGCAGCTTCCCAGGATGGCTTTGGGATCCTCTGGGGGAGTTTGAAGGATACAAGCGCAGCCTAGACACAGGTCCAGGCCTTACAGCATGTACCCAGAGCTTTCTAATCTTCAGGTAGTCTTTTTCATGAACTTTTGCTAACCTTTTAGGAAGGCACTCTAACCTCCTCCTTGTTGTTACATCTTTTCTTGCAATAAACACCCCTTAGATCAGCTTTAGAAATATTGGCGAACCTGCAAATGCTCACCTGCATCTTGCATCTCATAAGCACACATCCTAATGACTCTGAGCTTAACAGCAGCTCTTCCTGCAAGAAACTCCATAGAGCTGTACCCATGGATAGAGCTGAATATGCTGTGTTTTCTTCCAATGCGATACACATGCTACAGATACAAGAAAAGTAGTCTTTTTGCATCTATGGGAGAAAATATTTTCGTATTTGGTGCCTTTGTTGTTGGTGCTAGAATGCCTTAAATTCTTCTGTGGAGGTGGAAACTGCATTTTGGCTACTGTATTATGGAGCTTTATGTGACTCCGGTACTTACTTTTAGTGTCTTATGCACAATAAAACAGCCCACTGACGGCTCTGCATCACTTGAAATATGTGTTACTTCCGAAATGTTTTGTGTCCACACATGACATACGAAAGGGTACCGTAAATTGATCAGTACCAGGTTTTCAGAGAAAGCATTTTATCCTAAACAGATGCATTTATTTGTTTTGCTCATTGTAGGTCTTTTGTTGGAGAAGGTTCTTCCTTCACCAGAATCTTGTTTCATTGCTGTTGAATGTCTTTTCGGTGTGCCTTCGCCTTCCTCCCTTCATTTGTGGAAGCAAAAGTGAATGCAGCCAGGTTTCCATTTGTTGAAGGAGGGATGGGTGTCATCAGAGGTTTGGTTGAGCTGTGCAGCCCGTCCCTGGGTTCAACGCCTACTGACTCGGAGATGTCGAGATCACCCATGAACTCCAAATGGGGGCAAAGTAGTCTATTTGGGATTTTCTCTGAGTAAACACAGGACTCTCTTCTTTGCCCTTGTTCCGACAAAGCCAACTAATTATCTCCTCCCGCTCCTGGCTCAGCCTGGCCAGATGCAGTTAATTTACACTGTCTCTCCCGGAGTTTTCTCACAGAACAGGCACGCTCCACGCTGGCCCCAGGGAACTTTACTCCCCAGAACTGTGCCTGTTTGGGGGAGGGGACGAGGAGGCTCAAGAGTGGTTCCCCAACTTTTCATCACCCAAGACTTCTTTATTTTTTTCCCCTTAGTGAATCCAGAGTCTTGCAAAACTTTGCCTGCCAAACTGTAGTTAGCAAGTGCTAATTTAGCTGTAAATCCATTTTTATTAATTCAAGACATGTACTCGAATGAGAAGGAAGAATCTCATCTCAGAAATGCCCTTGATGACCGACCAGAGATTTTGGTCCTGGTGAGACATGCTATGTTATGTTATCCGCTGACATGATAGACTTCCAGCTCAGCCAGAAAACAACTTGACCTTTCACTTAGCCCATGTGACCACATCCTGAGTAAAATGTCAGTTTCTAACAGGCTGCTTGAAATATTAAAAAAAAAAAAAAAAAAAAAAGCTTTTGCTACCTTGTGACCCCTTAATTGAATATTATTGGATTTTACAATAGGATGCCCCCATAGAGACTTAGTTCTCCCTTTCCTAAGACTTAGCCCCAGACTGGGAATTCTTTTCCCCCACTAAATTACTCCCTGACTGATCTCTCTAGAAACATAAATTTCATTTTTACTTTCAGTTGTCTTTTCAGAGTGCTTTTTTGAACACTTGGGCAGCCACACCCCTCTCCCCAAAGCCAGGTCAGCAGCACTTGCTGTGAATCATAGCCTTGAGCACAATAAACTAGAGGCCCGGTGCACAAAATTCATGCATGGGTACGGCTTGTGATCAGGGCCATCTTCCCCAGCTGCCTGCAGCTGTCCTGTCTCCCTGCCGCCATCCAACCCTGGTTTCCCCTTTCCCATCGAGTGTTTGGTGCCTGATGGATGGGGGAAGGGACAAAGAGGTTGGCTGTGTCCCCTTTGCTTGCGGGCCCCACCCCTGCAGCAGGTGGCCATCAGGCAATTGGAGCCTGCTGGCCAGGGAAAGGGATCAAGAGGTGGTCAGTGCACCTCATAGTGACTGGTCCAGTGGTTGTTCTGGTCATTCTGCCGTTAGGGTCAATTTGCATATCACCTTTTTATTATATAGGATATGTGTGTGCATAAAGTGTGTGTGTGTGGGGGGGGTGGGGGGGTACTTATTAACTTTTAATGTAAAATTCCAAAGTCCCTATCTGGAGAAAACTCAACAAAACATACCAGACCAAAACAAAAACAACAATAAAAACAGAATTCTTACTGTGGTCATCCACCTAAATCTTACCCATAAAGACCTGTGTGTGGTAAATTAAAAAAAAAAAAGGCTCATACTGATTTACATTTTGTGGTTTCAGAGGGAAGCTCTGATTCAACCTTGGTTTTCATGGGTTGTACTAGCTCAAACCCTCTTCTCTCTCTGGAAGCTTCTGCATCTCTACAGACTCTCTGGGGCTCAGGAAAATCTGGTGGCCCCTGAGAAGAGGGCTGTAGGGACAGTCTCATTGATGGGAGGCGGGAAAAAGTCCTATGGTTTCTGTACTTGCAGGCGCATTATAAGTCAGACGAGCAGGCAGAGCAGTATTTCTTTATGAATCTTTGAAGGCTACCCTGCCCATGTGCACAGTGGTGGTATATTTTCTATTAAAAGAGTAGTCCCAACCTATTTTTCACATGCTACATATCCCAGTCTTTTGCCTTGGGACATGGGTCTCCTATATTTCTAAGCTCTGTTCCCATGGGGGCCATTTTCAGTACTGATGTGTTTTTGTTCATTTTCTTTTTCAAGAAGCCAAATAAACAACAGAATAACTCTCATTCAAAAGGTTTACTCAGAAATGTTCGGTGTTTGGTTGCCCATGAGGGGTTTTCCTGATATTATCTTCCTCTTTTTAAAAATTAATTGTGGTAAAATACACACAACGTAAAATTGGCCATCTTAACCAACTGTTCAGTTCAGAGCTATTAAATATATCCACATTGTGGCGCAACCACCACCATCCATCCATCTCTATTCTATTCGTCTTGCAAAACTGAAACTCTGCCACCATTAAACCACAACTCCTCATTCCCCCTTCTTCCCAGCCTCTGGCATCCACCATTCTGCTATCAGCCTCTGTGAATTTGACTCCTCTAGATATCTCCTATAAATGGAGCCATGTACAATAGTATTTGTCCTCTTATGACAGGCTTATTTCACTTAGCCTCATATCCTCCAAGGTTCCTACATGTTGTAGCATGGGTCAGAATTTGGCCACTGTGACTAATGCTGCTATGAGCATGGTAGACAAATGTCTCTCTGGCTTCAATTTTTTTTTTTTTTTTTTTTTTTTTTTTGTATATGCTGAGAAGTGGAATTGTTGGATCATATGGTGGTCCGAGGAACTGCCACTGCCATATTGTTTCCATTGTGGCTACTACCATTTATATTCTTACCAACAGTATAGGTTCTAATTCTTCTACAGATCCACATTACTTGC